AGATTTAGACACCTTGGCTGTTTGACTGCAAATCTTTTGTTTCATCGTCCAGGAGCGAGTTCAGTGTCGACTTTTGCTTTTCCATTTACTTAAATCCTCCTAATTGGCCCCGCCGTTAATCAGGGAAGAATGAGTGACTAAGCCGTCTCTCGCCTGCCCAGGGACCGGGGTGTTTTTTTTTTTAATTTTTTTCTTTTTTTTTTTTTCTTTCTTTTTTCCCATGGACTGAAAGGAAATGAAACCTCAAAATGTCCTTTTAAATCTCAGCTGTCAGCCTCGCTGCCCGGAGCCCCGGCCAAAATCACAGAGTCATTTTGTGTAGCCGAGAGGTGGGGCGCGGGGCGACGACTGGGAGCTCGCTCTTTTCCAGGAGAAAAAATGCCAAAAATCGGGGGAGAGGAATTTCTCTGCCGGGACGAGCAGGCGTCTCATTCTTTGCCATGAAAAAAAAAAAAAGAAAAAGAGAAAACAAAAAGGTGAGGCCTCACCAGTGCCCAGTACAGGGGGACAATCACCTCTCGGGCCCTACTCCCCACACTGTTCCTGACACAGGCCAGGATGCTGGTGGCCTCCTTGCCCACCTGGGCACACTGCTGGCTCCTGTTCAGCCAACAGTCGACCAACACCCCCAGGTCCTTTTCTGCCAGGCACCTCCAGCCACTTTGCCCCATCCTGTGATGCTCCATGGGGTTGTTGTGACCGAAGTGCAGGACCTGGCACTTGGCCTTGTTGAACCTCATCCCGTTGGTCTCGGCCCATCGATCCAGCCTGTTGAGATCTCTCTGCAGAGCCTCTCTACCCTCTCTATCTTGCTTACATTTAAAGGGATGTTCAGCCCCCGGCGTGGCGAGACGCCTGCCCGTGGGGTTATTCCCCGTGGCGGGGTTGGCAGTGCCAGCATCTCCTCGGGGAGGGGTTTATCTTCCCCCCCCCCTCCAGGATGCCATCCTCGGGCAGTGTTTTCCTGCAGGAGCTGCTCATCCCACGGGATGCAGATGCTCAGCACCCCGGAGCGAGCTGCTCCTTCCCTCCCTCCCTCCACCCTGGCTGTGAGCGTGGCTGCTGCTGCTGCTGCTGGAGATTTTGGCTGCCGCCGGGGCTGGCGCGAGGGTCTGTTTTGTCTGGGTTCATGCCCCCAGCATCGTGTTGGCTCCCGCAGTGGGGATGAGGAGCCAGCAGCCTTCCTCCCCGCGCCCAGCGCTCTGGCAGAGCCCAAGCCCTCGGAAATAGTTGGAGGCGACTCAAATTCTTTCCTTTTCACAGGCTCTGGGGCAAAGTTGAGAGCGAAATTCACAGTCGAGGCCCTGGAGGCTGTGGGGAGGGTGGCTCCCTGGACCCAAGATGCTTTGGGATGGGGGGGGGTTGGTGTAGGAGCCCTCCAGGTGGGGTCTGGAGCTGGGGTGCTGTGTGGGGCAGGGGGGACATGGGGAGGATGCCATGTGGGGCAGGGTGCTGTGTGGGTCAGGGTGGATATGGGGAGAGTACTGTGTGGGATAGGGTGCTGTGTGGGTCTGGATGGACATGGGGAGGGTGCCATATGGGGCAGGGTGCTGTGTGGGTCAGGGTGGATATGGGGAGAGTACTGTGTGGGATAGGGTGCTGTGTGGGTCTGGATGGACATGGGGAGGGTGCCATATGGGGCAGGGTGCTGTGTGGGTCAGGGTGGATATGGGGAGAGTACTGTGTGGGATAGGGTGCTGTGTGGGTCTGGATGGACATGGGGAGGGTGCCATATGGGGCAGGGTGCTGTGTGGGTCAGGGTGGATATGGGGAGAGTACTGTGTGGGATAGGGTGCTGTGTGGGTCTGGATGGACATGGGGAGGGTGCCATATGGGGCAGGGTGCTGTGTGGGTCAGGGTGGATATGGGGAGAGTACTGTGTGGGATAGGGTGCTGTGTGGGTCTGGATGGACATGGGGAGGGTGCCATATGGGGCAGGGTGCTGTGTGGGTCAGGGTGGATATGGGGAGAGTACTGTGTGGGATAGGGTGCTGTGTGGGTCTGGATGGACATGGGGAGGGTGCCATATGGGGCAGGGTGCTGTGTGGGTCAGGGTGGATATGGGGAGAGTACTGTGTGGGATAGGGTGCTGTGTGGGTCTGGATGGACATGGGGAGGGTGCCATATGGGGCAGGGTGCTGTGTGGGTCAGGGTGGATATGGGGAGAGTACTGTGTGGGATAGGGTGCTGTGTGGGTCTGGATGGACATGGGGAGGGTGCCATATGGGGCAGGGTGCTGTGTGGGTCAGGGTGGATATGGGGAGAGTACTGTGTGGGATAGGGTGCTGTGTGGGTCTGGATGGACATGGGGAGGGTGCCATATGGGGCAGGGTGCTGTGTGGGTCAGGGTGGATATGGGGAGAGTACTGTGTGGGATAGGGTGCTGTGTGGGTCTGGATGGACATGGGGAGGGTGCCATATGGGGCAGGGTGCTGTGTGGGTCAGGGTGGATATGGGGAGAGTACTGTGTGGGATAGGGTGCTGTGTGGGTCTGGATGGACATGGGGAGGGTGCCATATGGGGCAGGGTGCTGTGTGGGTCAGGGTGGATATGGGGAGAGTACTGTGTGGGATAGGGTGCTGTGTGGGTCTGGATGGACATGGGGAGGGTGCCATATGGGGCAGGGTGCTGTGTGGGTCAGGGTGGATATGGGGAGAGTACTGTGTGGGATAGGGTGCTGTGTGGGTCTGGATGGACATGGGGAGGGTGCCATATGGGGCAGGGTGCTGTGTGGGTCAGGGTGGATATGGGGAGAGTACTGTGTGGGATAGGGTGCTGTGTGGGTCTGGATGGACATGGGGAGGGTGCCATATGGGGCAGGGTGCTGTGTGGGTCAGGGTGGATATGGGGAGAGTACTGTGTGGGATAGGGTGCTGTGTGGGTCTGGATGGACATGGGGAGGGTGCCATATGGGGCAGGGTGCTGTGTGGGTCAGGGTGGATATGGGGAGAGTACTGTGTGGGATAGGGTGCTGTGTGGGTCTGGATGGACATGGGGAGGGTGCCATATGGGGCAGGGTGCTGTGTGGGTCAGGGTGGATATGGGGAGAGTACTGTGTGGGATAGGGTGCTGTGTGGGTCTGGATGGACATGGGGAGGGTGCCATATGGGGCAGGGTGCTGTGTGGGTCAGGGTGGATATGGGGAGAGTACTGTGTGGGATAGGGTGCTGTGTGGGTCTGGATGGACATGGGGAGGGTGCCATATGGGGCAGGGTGCTGTGTGGGTCAGGGTGGATATGGGGAGAGTACTGTGTGGGATAGGGTGCTGTGTGGGTCTGGATGGACATGGGGAGGGTGCCATATGGGGCAGGGTGCTGTGTGGGTCAGGGTGGATATGGGGAGAGTACTGTGTGGGATAGGGTGCTGTGTGGGTCTGGATGGACATGGGGAGGGTGCCATATGGGGCAGGGTGCTGTGTGGGTCAGGGTGGATATGGGGAGAGTACTGTGTGGGATAGGGTGCTGTGTGGGTCTGGATGGACATGGGGAGGGTGCCATATGGGGCAGGGTGCTGTGTGGGTCAGGGTGGATATGGGGAGAGTACTGTGTGGGATAGGGTGCTGTGTGGGTCTGGATGGACATGGGGAGGGTGCCATATGGGGCAGGGTGCTGTGTGGGTCAGGGTGCCATGTGGGTCAGGGTAGACGTGGGGAGGGTGCCATGTGGGGCAGGGTGCTGTGTGGGTCAAGGTGCTGTGTCAGATAGGGTGCTGTGCGGGTCAGGATGCTGTGTGGGGCAGGGTGGACATGGGGAGGGTGCAATGTGGGTCAGGGTGCTGTGTGGGTCAGGATGGACATGGGGAGGGTGGCGTGTGGGATAGGGTGCTGTGTGGGTCTGGATGGACATGGGGAGGGTGCCATATGGGGCAGGGTGCTGTGTGGGTCAGGATGCTGTGTGGGGCAGGGTGGACATGGGGAGGGTTCCACATTGGCCAGGGTGGATGTGGGGAGGGTGCCACGTGGGGCAGGGTTCTGTGTGGGTCAGGATGCTGTGTGGGTCAGGGTGGACATGGGGAGGGTGCCATGTGGGGCAGGGTGCTGTGTGGGTCAAGGTGCAATGTCAGATAGGGTGCTGTGTGGGTCAGGATGGACATGGGGAGGGTGTGATGTGGGGCAGGGTGCTGTTTGGGGCAGGGTGGACATGAGACATGGTGCCACATTGAACTGGGTGCCATGTGGAGCCGGTACGTGTGGGGCAGGGTGCTGTGTGGGGCAGGGTGGATGTGGGGCAGGGTGGATGTGGGGCTGGAGATGGGGGTCACCCCACTCCCCGGCTGTGGCTGATGCCCCAGGAGGAGCAAAGGGTTCCTGGGGGGTGGGAAAACACTGTCGCTATTTCTGGGGGGGTGGGTTTGCAATGCCCCCCCTCTGCCCCCCATACATCGGGGCGTGTGGGGCTGCCGGGGGAGGGTGCTGCCTGTAGGATGAGGTGGGACACCCCAGTGTGGGGTGCAG